CACTCTCTGAAGCCAAACCGTTGAATGTAGGAGGGTAATATTTCTTGAACCTTGCAAGTCTAAGCTGTTCTTCCTCAGATGTTGCTGCCCTGACCATGGGCTGAACTGGAACCACAGGCTGTGTCGCCATGACACTTGGAACCTTTCCAACATTAACTCGCTGCTCTAGGGTGTGGGCGGCGAGAGTCTGGGTTCCTACCCTGGTCTGTGAAGTAGCTAGTGCAACCGGAATCAACCCCGCCTGAGCCAATATACCAAACATGCTCAAGAACTGTGCTAAGGTCTCCAGAAGTCCGGGGATAACAACAGGCGCCTTCGGTACCTACTCCTCAACTGGAACTACTGGGAGCTCCTCAACTGCTGCTCTGGTAGGTGCTCTGGCTGCGACACTTACTCCTCGTTGGCCTCTGCCTCTAGCGATACCTGCTCCGGGAGCAGCGTCGTCAATAACTGCAGTTCGTGTCCTCACCATCTGTGAGAGAATGAAATGATAAAAGTTCAAACTCCGAGATCAATAAGCTCGCACGATAGGAATGAAATAAGTGAGATTGTCCTAATAGTTTTGTAGCCTCTCGAAGATAAGTACAAACGTCTCTGTAATGATCTGCAGGACTCTACTAAACTCGCTTATGACTCGTAGCACCTATGAACCTAGAGCTATGATACCAACTTGTCACGACCCAATTTTCCCTCCGTTTGGTATCGTGATGGCACCTAGTCTTAGGGACTAGGTAAGCCTAACATTAATTGAAACAACAACATTATTTAAATAACATCTAACAATTTAAATAGAAATCTCTTACAATTCCTAAAACCGGTAGTACAAGTCATAAGCTATACAGAGTGTTTGCTAAAAATCCTCTAAATATAAATGTCCAGAAACATGAATAAACAGTGCAAAATGAAAACTTGAAGGTGACTCCAAAGCCTGCGAACATAGCAACAGGTTTACCTTGAGTCTCCACAGAAACATTCCACACAGCTAGCTAACAACCAAGTACCTGGATATGCACAAAAATGTGCAGAAGTGTACAATGAGCACACCACAGCGGTGCCCAGAAAGTATCAAGACTAACCTCAATGGAGTAATGATGAGGAACAGTCAAGACACCCACTGGTCTAATAAACTGAACATGTATAAGTATATGAACAACAGAAGTATGATGTCTACATAAAGACTATGCAATATGGCTCACAATACAGTAATGGCAATACAGAAGGAAACAACAAGTATCTGCGGAATATCATGAAAATGACACAGACAAAGTGAATGGAACACAACCTAAATTCGGAATCACAAATACAGCAAGGACAAGTAATAACTCAGCGACTACAACCGCTTTTACATTAGGTTTTAGTCAACAACTCCACGAGGTACCGAACCTCGGACAAATGACAACTCACGGGTCTCAATACCTGAACCCTAACACTTGGCATCTTGTGCCCTCATAACTGCACTGGCGACTCACGTGCCAGTAGAGCCATTCTCACATAGAAGGCAAGTAAACAAGGGTGAGCATCTATGCTCAACAATATCAAGAACACCTCTTATCCGATAAGAGTGCTTAACTATGTGTATGCTTGTGCAAGTGTCCTACCATAGTCCATATCAGTAAATAAGCATAAGAAAAAAGAACGGACAGCACATAGAATATTTTCTCACAGCTTTCACAAGATAAAGCTCACACAGGTACATATACCACTACACAAATATCAACAACAAGAATGCCCCCAAGCCACAAATCATCACAATTCAATCCCTGACGCAGCCCACCTTGTCTCGCCACGTGTGCAGTAATAAAGTAAGTGCCCGCCTTGTCTCGCCACACGTGCATAACAATGTTCCCACCTTGTCTCGCCACATGCGCAACCTATATATATATATCCCGCCTTGTCACGCCGCATGTGCAAATATCCATAGTAACAATAGCACGACCGAAACTTCGTGCAACCCCATAACAACAACCGCATGGCAGAAACCTCGTGCATCACAATAATAACAATCGCACGGCAGAAACCTCATGCTTTACCACAATAAGTACAACAACAACAATGACAATAATACAAAGTACGACAACTAAATCAACTCAAGAACTTTAAATCACAAAGAAACGGTAGAATCAATTTGCAAGGAATAATCACAGTAAAGAATTCTAGGCGTAAAGAGAACAACTGAACAAGGGAAAACTAATATGTAGCAATGATCCCATAATATACATTTCAACAACAGGGAATCTAACACGAGTCAAATAATTTCAAATAAAATAAGTCGACTAAGATATAGGATATTTAAAACTTTTTTTAAGGTTGAGGAATTATGAAGGATATTCAACAATTCAATTAAGGATAAGCAGCGAAAAAATAATTATAATCTAAATTAAGACTGAACAAATTATAGTATGAGATAATAATAATTCCCAATAAAGATAAGAAGTTATGAAAAGATAGCATGACAATAGAGGAGGTAAAATCTTCAGTTAAGTCAAATAAGAGTCAAATAGGCAATAAGTGTAAATCCTGAAAATAATTAATTCTAATTAAAGCATGTAGAGGTGAAACTAGTAAATAGGAACTTAATCATATCAAGAGCAACTTCATACTCAATGAATATAAGGACCTAAGAACCCTAAAAGACCAACTTTCCACAAATAAGTTCAAGCACGCACTCGTCCCCTCGCGTACACAGACTACACTCAACATAGAAGACTCAAATCCTAAGGAGAAATTCCCCCCACAAGGTTAGGCAAGATACTTACCTCGAATCAAGCTCAATCAATTGGTCACAATGCCTTTCCCACGAATATCCGACTCCGAATGGCTCAAATCTAGCCAAAACAATTACATATCATAAATACAACTATAGTAGGCTAATCTAATTAATGAAATTAAGATTTTAATAAAAATTCCGAAATTCATCCTAAAAAGTCAACTCGGGCCCACGTCTCGGAATCGGGTAAAAATAATAAAATACAAACACCCCAATCACAAAATTACCAAATTTCGAGCTCTCAAGTACAAAAACGAAGAATGAAATCAAACCCTCGAATTTCTCTTTTCTGCCCAGGGTTGACCACACCTGCGACATAATTAGCCGCATCTGCGCAACCGCAGGTGCGCATGTCCAACCGCACCTGCGCTCCCTCTCACTTCTGTGCCCTAGAATCTGCTTCTGCGGAGCTACTGATGCGCACAAATTCTCCGCACCTGCGGAGACTGCCAAGTCCAGCGCTTCTCGCACCTGCGCCTCCATCTTCGCACCTACGACCATCGCACCTGCGACCAAGGTCCGCAGGTGCGATTACACCAGAACACAGACCTCTTCACAACCACGAGAAAACATCTGAAACTTGTCCGAAACACACCTCGGGCCCTCGAGACCCCGTCCAAGCATACAACCAAGTTCCATAACTTAATACGGACTCGCTCGAGGTCTCAAATCATATCAAACAACGGAGAAACTACGAATCAAACCAAGAATCGAACTTAAGAACTTTCAAATCTTCCAACTTCAAAAACTCGCGTCGAAACCTATAAAATCAACCTGGAGTGACATCAAATTTTACAGGCAAGTCCCAAATAACATAACGGAGCAGTTCTAACTCTCAGAATCGCATTCCGACCCCGATATCAAAAAGTTCACTTCCGGTCCAAATCTCCAAAAATTTGACTTTTGCCATTTCAAGCCTAAATCAGCTACAGACCTCAGATTCACAGTCCAGACACACTCCTAAGTCCAAAATCACCCAACGGAGCTAACGGAGCCGACAGAACTCCATTCCGGAGTCGCCTTCACATTGTTCTAACTACAGACAAAATCCTAAGACTTAAGCTTCAAATCACTCTAAATCATCCGGTAACTGAAACCAATCACGCACGCAAGTCAATACACATAATACAAAGCTTCTTAGATCCTTATGCCACCGGACGGGACTTACATTCTAAAAGCGATCGGCCGGGTCGTTACAATTATCAACTTATGTATGTGCTAAAAGTAAACCAATTAAATCACAGTCGGTTTGCCAGAGACATGAACATCTATATCTGTTGTATTGTTGCACATATGACCCTGTATAGCTTGCATTTCCTTTGAGTGTGCTCTTCTCTAATGTTCAGACCTTTACAACATGCTTGTGATGTTTCTGGTCCTCACATATGTGTGTTTGAAAGTCAGACATTTAAACTCACTTGATATGTATTTTTGTTTGGTATCAAATGTAGATTATGTGTTCTTATGTTAGGAGGAAAAGTATATTTTGTGGCAAGTAATGCTGTAGAATTTAGTTTACATTAAAATGGCCACATTGGCATTTAAACCTGTAAGGAAAACATGTTGTTATGAATACCTTATTTATGCATGCTTTTTCCAAAAGAAATAAAAAAAATAACTTTTGGATGATTTTAGCTATTTTTAGTTGTTTTTATTTGAATTTATTTGTGCATTTTTATGTGAGTTTAATTAAAAAGTACTAAAATATTTTTACTTTTTATTTGTATATTTTAGTTTGCATCTCTAAATAATTTTCTTTTTGCTTGTATAATTTCATTAGAGAGACAAGGGATTGGGCTAGTATATTTTAATTAAAATTGAGCCAAAATTGGCCCAAATTTTGAGCCCAATTCGGTCATACCCAGTTCAAAATGGTTGGCCAAGACTTGGTCCAAAACAACGTAGTTTCATGATGAAACTACATCGTTTCATTAAGTTATCAAGATTAAATCTCATCCATTCATCTCTCCCTCATCCAACGGTCCACAATCAATCTCCCAACTAGGTATTTAAGACTTAGAAATGCTGAAATGTTATCCCCTTTATCCCCCATAATTCTTTCTTCTTCCTCTCTCTTCCCTCTCATTTCACTCTCTCTAGCCGCCGCCACCGAAAATCTCCCATCGGCGGCGAACTACCTCCAAACACCCCCAAATTCACACCATGTAATCTCTACAACCTCCTCTTTCCATATCTCCAAACTAAATCCTTCAAAAAATCCCTCAAACTCCTTGAATTTTAAATTTAAAAAACTTTACCCGCCACTTTTTTGCCCAAATTCTTGAAGCTCTGACCACTACCACCCCTACAATACCTACATAAACGGATAGAGTTCCTCAAGACCTACCTATTGATGTCAATTCTGCCCCGAAAATCCGCCTACCAAAAATCTGGCCAAATTCCGGCGATCTCCCTGAATTCCCTCGTTTGGCATACCACCATTGTTTCAGCCACTTGAATTGTGAAATGGTAAAAATACTTATTCTTTTTTTTTCTTTTCATGGCTGATTTTTTATTTTTATTTTTAATTTTTCAGATTTTATTTTGTCTCTTATTAATTATTTTAGCATTAGTTTTTAAAGTTTGAAATGCTAAATTTTCTGAATTTGCACTTGTTGAAGTAGTAGAATAGTTTTGTATTGATAAAAGTGAGGTAGTGAAGGAATATTTGAAAGTATAGGGTACTTGCTTATTTACCGCTTCAGAAATTTTTTGAGTACAAAACTCAAAAGTCATTTGATTGGTAAGAAAATATAGACTTTTGGACAGTTTTTGAACAAAAGTCTGTCTTTGAATAGTGAAGAGCAGATTTTGGTTGAAATACTCTCTTTTGGAAAAGATTGAACTAAAACGTCTTTCCTTATGAATTTAAGTGCAGATTTTGTGAAAAACTCTGTCAAAAAAGACTGATTTTTAATCATGAAATAGCTGGTTGTTTCTCATATATAAAACATATATCTTTATAGCAGGAGGGGAGATCTGGACACAGAGAGAAAAAAAGGAAGAGAAAAATCAGCAGCTAAAGCATCCTTTAGCATCTAAAAATTGTGAGTTGATTCTTAAGTGCAAAACCTTTTTTTTAAAGAAAATATAGTAGCCTTGAAAGTTTCTTCTGGAGTTACATAATTGCTAATTTTAACTGTTTTGCTGGGTATTTCTGGTTCATTTTTTTGGGTTTGAAATATGCTGGTTGTCGTTGTCTTTTGCTGTGTTGTTGCCCGTTTAATTGTTTTGCCGTCTGTTTCTTGATTTTGAAAAGAGCTGACTTTGCTATATTTGTTCTTCTTTCTGTTGTCCATGTAATTTTTGGACCATTTAAACTCCTAAAATCAAGTTGGAATGAAAGATAATGATGCTAAGAAATATTAGTGGCTACATCCTTCTATTGTAATCCATTTTTATATGTTCTTGAATGTTGGATAATATTATGACTATATGTTAGATAATTAAATTGTGTCAAGCATCTTTATTTTTTATTTTTTTTTTATTTTTTGCTAAAGCGTTAGATATAATTCCACTGGGCCCTCAATTGCTTGGTTGTATGGAAGGAGTATATATTAAATTTTGAACCCATGTAGCTATGTTTGTCCCTTTGTTGTTGCCAAAGTAAACTTTTTTTTAATTTTATTTATTTATTTCTAGAGTCCCAATAATCTTGCTTATTGGTTGAAAAGGTTTATTTTAGTAAGGTAGTTAAGCTGTGAATAGAAAGATACTCTCTGTAAACTTATTTTTGTAAATAGTTGGCTATGGATTGCAAATAGCAAGATAGGCCAGATCTATAATGTGGCTCTAAAAGGCCACATTTGCAGATTTGAAGTCCAAGAGCATATGGGCCTCTTGGATTTTGTCTTGGACATAAGCCCATTGGTTCCATCAGCCCAACTGTGGGCGGCCTCATTTCAATGTCATCACAAGCCCATATCTTACTAGTTTTAAGCAACATACGTTAATACTTTTCCCGCACCAGTCTCATCTTTTAAATTAGTAATCGTAATAACCGCAAAGACATTTCATTTAGCCAACTATTAATTTTTTCAAAAAGAATAATAACGTAGTAATAATTCTTGTCATGGCTGCGAATTTTCTTGCGTAGCGCTGTTATGACAAAATTAATAAAATTCGTCTTGGTCGCGTATTCGCTTGCGTGGTGCGGTTAGGACAATTTAATATTATACAAATCTTTTCTTCAATTATTGTTAATAAATAGTAGCGGACATAGGAAAAGCATGAAAAATCAAATAAAGCACAAGTTATATAAAAATTAATTCAAGCCAATTTTAGTCAATAAAAGCGACCGTGCAAGAACCACAGAATTCGGGGAATGCTTTACACCTTCTCCCCGGTCAATAGAATTCCTTACCCAAACTTTATTTTTGCAGACCAATAATAATAGAGTCAAACCTTCCTTTGACTAGAGATTCAAATAAAAGGTGACTTGAAACACCCAAAAATCAATTCCAAGTGGCGACTTTGTAAATAAAATAATCCCTACTCGAGTTTGTCACTTTAATTGGAAAAACTCTTTAACCCACAATAATTTATAATATATATTTTTTGGGGGTAGAAAAGGGGTGTGGCAGATCTGGCGACTCTGTTGGGGAATTCAAGAATTCAAGCTTGTACATTGACTTTATTTGGTTTTATTAATTTTTGCATATATTGTGATTTATTTGGGCCTAATGTGCTACTTGTCCACTTTTAACCGCTTTGATATTGTTTAATTGTACATATAAATTGTCTTCTCACGCACCCCCTCTGAGTCTTCTGAATATAACCCTAGGAATCGCGCACCCCATTCTTTTTAGAGATAAAGCCGGTGAGCCTGGGTTCCTGGTGAAAGATTATTAGTCACCCATATTTTAGAACGGGGAGGGTCTAGTAGTTAAGCCGGAGAAGTATTGCTCCCGGTACACTACCCCTTCCCAACTCGAGTTGTCCGCTCGTTTTATGGACAGTCTAGATACACCTCATCCACTAGGATTTTTAAAACCTAGAAGAACTAGCCACGTGCCTGGTTATCCCTAGTAGGATCGCTTTATTGCATCATGTGCATTTGACTTAACGAAACTCGGCATAGGGGCCGGGTCCGTATAAGACAGGTATCCTTTTTGAGACCATCATGTTCATTTATGTGCTATTTGTTGCATTATTTGGAAGGTTTTCTTGCATTGTTGACTGGCTTTAGAAAATTAGTTGAGCGGAATAGAATAAAACATCTTTCCCCAGTTTTGTACAAATAATCGTTTTTTACTATAAAAAAAATTGAAAAAAAAAGAAAAAGAAAATCAAAAAATGGTCAAAATCTATCAAGTCTTGGTTCGAACTACGCGGGTCTAATTCTCGCCGTATGTAAGATACGTAGGCAAACCTCATCGGTCTTGGTCACCAATTTTCAAAAATTCAAAAATATTTTCCTTTAATTCCTTCTTTAGAAATCTTTTCTTAGAAAATTCCAAATAAAAAAAAAATTAAAACCAAAAATATTTTCTTTCTTTTTAGAAGTCCTTCATTTAAAAAAGAAAATCGAATCAAAATCCAAAAATATGTTTTTTTTTCTTCCTTCTTTTGAAGTCTTTCTCCGGAAAACAAAAATCGAAATTCATAAAACAAATATATATTCTTTCTTCTTTAGAAATCTTTCTTTCAATAATTCTCAAAAAAAAAAAAAAACAAATCGAAATCCAAAAATATTTTCTTTCTTCTTTATATGTCTTTCTTTCAATAATTCTCAAAAAAAAAAAAAAACAAATCGAAATCCAAAAATATTTTCTTTCTTCTTTATATGTCTTTCTTTCAATAATTCTCAAAAAATAAAAACTAAAAAAAAAATTCAAAATCCAAAAAAACAAAGAGTTAGCTTATTTACTTTATTCCTAATCTTCCCAAACTACGCAGGATCTGATTCATGTTCCCACATGATACGTAGGCAACCCACATCAGGTTCGATCGAATGATTTTGAAAAACAAAAGTGAAAAAAAAAAGAAAAAAAAAGAGCAAAAGAGTGTTCATTCTAACATGTTTATTGTTTTAAAATAAAAGCTGGTTAAAGTTGGTCGGATTGTTGGTTTGCAATGGTAAATCACGAAAATAATCCATGATCACGCTATCATCTTCTCAACCAAGGAAATAAGCACCGCTATTGTTGATCCAAAGTCAAGAAAAGGCAAGTACATAGTTTGGTTGTGAAAAGTAGAGGAAAATGTTGGTTGACTTTTACCAGGTTTGAGCAATGCTTTGTGTGAGGCGATCTGTGAGGATAGGGAGATATGATAATTCTTTCAAGTCCTTGGAAAATTAGTTACTATGAAAATTCCCATGCCGTCAGTCTTGAAATCCGATAGTCAATATTGGGAATGATTCGGTCAAACTTTGTGTGTTGAATCCAAAGCAATCAAAATTGGTTGAGTGCCGTAGTAATGCTGATGTGCAAGTTCGTGGCTAAGATGTCGTTTGGTAATTGGAAAGTCATACCTCTTTAGCACGGATGAGTCTTGGTAGCTTATTTTGTCGTCTTTTCTGTTATCTGGGTTATCCAGGGTTGTAACCCAGATTTTAGTTTGTTTGTCTTGTCGTCAAATCCTTCCATCCGTTATTCAATGAAATACAGTTCGTCCTTTTGTGTGTGTCATTCTATGCTTAGTTCTTTCGCCGCTAGTTCTAGTGACATGACTTGCATGCGAAATTTTTGGCCAGATCTTAGAAAACTGATTTAGTCTAATACACTTTAGAGGATGAATAAAGAGTCGAAACAATTTGGAATTAAGCTCGAGTAAAATTCACGTGGAACTAGAATAGTCATACCGGTGGAGGTTAATGATCTTTACCTTCAAATCATTGTGAAGGTCGGGTTTGAGGAAGAATCAATTGAAGTTTGGTGGAAATTTTGACAATAAAAGATGAAAAGTGTCTTTCGACCACGACACACCAAAAAGACAGACATGTTCATCAATGATGTAATCGCTAAAGGATATTATGTTTGGCGTTCTCGAGGCTAGGAGGCCCTTTTTTTGCTATCCAAATACTTTATACCCTTTGTTACCCCTTTTGAGCTTGTATTATTTTCTTTGACCACCCTCTTTTGGAATCAAGTTTCGAATTAAAAGTCCCAAAAATAGAATTAAAAAAATAATGAATAGAAAAGTCCATGCCCCAAGAGTACAAACTAGGGCAACTTTTAGAAAGTTCAAATAAAAAAAATAAAAAAGAAGAAAAGAAGAGTCAAAGATCCATGCCCCAGAAAATAAAGGCTGGGGTAACTTGTTTTGAAAACAAAAACAGAAATAAGAAAAAAAGAAGAAAAAAGAAACAAAAAGAAAGATGAAAAAAATAGTTAGGTCAGATGTTTGAACTACGTTTGACTTGATTCCTTTAAGGGATACGTAGGCAACTCTACTAGGGTTCAGTCCAACCAAATAAAAATAAAAATAAAAATTTCTCAGTATCTGAAACTAGGGTAGAAGTGTTTTTTTATATTTTTATGAAGAGTCGATTCAAAGAGTTGTAAGATACAACCCCTCATCTTAAATATATTTTGAGCCTTTATGCAACCATTTCTTTCTAACCTTATCCAAAAGCCTTCCAAATAAAGACCTCCTAATCAATCTTTAAGAATGCCAAGTGAAGCACGCAATAAGCAACAGTTTTCACATGATATAGAATAATGTCAAGTTGCTCACACAAGAAAGCAAAAATAAAAATTAAAAATGAGAGAGTCTTACTAGTGAAAATTCTCATGGTCCATGTAAGACGATGGCAAGTAGAGATAAATACATGAGAGAGGTCGGTTGATGAATACCTTTTGGGGCACTACCGGTCGAAGGTGAGTTGTGATTTGATGCAAACGATTGGCGCAAAGAGGCCAACTTCAAAGATGAAACGGAACAACAAGAATAAAAGGTAGATTGGTTGGATAGATTTAGCCGCTCAGTCCAAAATACATGTCATGATCATTAAAGTTGGCTACCACATTCAAAAGATCTCTTTTTTAGTTTTCTTCTTTCTTTCTCCCCTAAAGTGACATTTTTAGTTAAATACTATTCCTTGTTACTTCTACATCGCGCCATTGTGTGCATTTGCATTATTCTTTTGAGTCAATCTTTATTAAACAAACAAGAAATGATTTCAAAATCTGTTACCAGCTTTCTCACTGTACAAAGCGAGTTCTATCCTAGCACATCAAAGAGGACATACCGAAGAAGCAACATGAACAATAAATTATTGAAGTTAAACAAGATCTGAGGGTTCATGCATACGGAAGTTCCAAAGAGAAAAGTTTATTGGTCTATTTGTTTAGAAGCCAACAAAGAAAGGGCCACAAAATTGATTATTGTTTCCCGAAAGTGCCAAACAAAATGTGGGGCATACACGACATTGTCAAAAGCACACATACATCTGTGATCTCCTCTGGTAAGTCGAACAAAGTGCTTTAATCAAATTGAAAAGGTCGCTAAACAAGACTTGCTTCATGGAAAAATTGATAGCACTACGGACACAAACTGATATTGGGTGAAAGACAACTAAGTTTGCTTTTAATGGAAAAATTGCCTTGCCTTGGGGATAAGGGTCAACGATACCATGGACATCCGGGTATGAAATCGTGGGGGAGATGTCGGAAAGTCCAGGTATCCAGAAAGCGATATAAAGTATCCGAGCATCTCGGTACCACACAGACAGAATCGGTTCTTCGACAGTAGTGGCCATGAATTCAAGCCACTCAGGGCATCAAGGCCACAAACCGACCACTACATTGAAAACTCACAAATTTTCTTTGTTTGAAGCAGGAACAAAGTAATGCAACATTAAGATTCTCAAAGGATGAATGTCACCAAAGGTAAGTTCCGCAAAATCTCCATTTTCTTTTATTCACTACTGTTCATACAGACCATTTTCGTATCTTAATACAGGTAGAACATTTTTGCCTAAGTGGATCCAGCTAATATTTCCAGGCAGAAGTACTCTTCTCTCAGGTTTGTTTTACGTAACTTAACTCGGGTAGAACCTTTTCTCCTAGGGGGATCTAGCTCATATTTATGGGTAGAATTACTCTTCGCTCAGGCTATTTTACGTAGCTTAACCCAGGTAGAATATTTTTGCCTAGGGGGATTCAGCTCATATTTCCGGGTAGAAGTACTCTTCGCTCGGGCTGTTTTACGTAGCTTAACCCAGGTAGAACCTTTTTGCCTAGGGGGATTCAGCTCATATTTCCGGGTAGAAGTACTCTTTGCTCAGATTGTTTTATGTAGCTTAACCCAGGTAGAACCTTTTCGCCTCGGGGGATCCAGCTCATATTTTCGGGTAGAAGTACTTTTCGCTCAGGCTGTTTTATGTAGCTTAACCTAGGTAGAACCTTTTCGCCTATGGGATCCAGCTCATGTTTTCGGGAAGAAGTACTCTTTGCTCAGGCTGGTTTACATAACTTATCCCAGGTAGAACCTTTTCGCCTATGGGGATCTAGCTCATATTTACGGGCATAAGTACTCTTCGCTCTAGCTGTTTTACGTAGCTTAACCCAGGTAGAACTTTATCGCTTAGGGAGATCCAGCTCATATTTTCGGGTAGAAGTATCCTTCGCTCAGGTTGTTTTATGTAGCTTAACCCTGGTATAACCTTTTCGCCTAGGGGGATCCAGCTCATAATTCTGAGTAGAAGTACTCTTCGCTCAAGCTTCTTTACGTAACTTAACCCAGGTAGAACCTTTTCGCGTAGGGGGATCCAACTCATATTTCCGAGTAGAAGTATCCTTTGCTCAGGCTGTTTTACGTAGGTTAACCTAGGTAGAACCTTTTTATCTAGGGGGATCCAGCTCATATTTTTGAGTAGAAGTACTCTTCGCTCAAGGTTGTTTACGTATCTTAACCCAAGTAGAACTTTTTCGCCTAGGGGGATCCAGCTCATATTTCCAGGTAGAAGTACTTTTCGCTCATGCTGTTTTACGTAGCTTAACCCAGTTAGAACTTTTTTGCCTAGGGGGGGATCCAGCTCATATTTCCAGGTAGAAATACTCTTCGCTCATATTGTTTTGCATAGCTTAACCCAGGTAGAACCTTTTCGCCTAGGGGGATCCAGCTCATGTTTTCGGGCAGAAGTACTCTTCGCTCAGACTGTTTTACGTAGCGTAACCTAGGTAGAACCTTTTCTCCTAGGGGATCCAACTCATATTTCCGGGTAGAAGTACTCCTCGCTCAGGGTGTTTTATGTAGCTTAACCCAGGTAGAACCTTTTCGCCTCGGGGGATCCAGCTCATATTTCCGGGTAGAAGTACTCTTCGCTCAGGCTGTTTTACGTAGCTTAACTCAGGTAGAACCTTTTCTCCTAGGGGATCCAGCTCATATTTTCGGGTAGAAATACTCTTCGCTCAAGCTATTTTACGTAGCTTAACCCAGGTAGAACCTTTTAGCCTAGGGGGATCCAGCTCATATTTCTGGGTAGAATTACTCTTCTTTATAAGTCTTTCTTTCGGAAATTGAAAAAAAAGATCAAAATCCAAAAAGAAAAGAGTTAGCTTATTTACTTTATTCTTGATCTTTCTGAACTACGCAAGATCTGATTCATGTTCCCATATGATACGTAGGCAACCCACATCAGGTTCGATTGAATGATTTTGAAAAAAAAAGTGAAGAAAAAAAAAGAGCAAAAAAATGTGTTCATTCTAACATGTTTGTTGTTTTAAAATAAAAGCTCGTTAAAGGTGGTCGTTTGTTGGTTTGCAATGGTGAATCACGAAAATAATCCAGGATCACGCTATTATCTTCTCAACCAAGGGAATAAGCATCGCTATTGTTGATCCAAATAAGGTGAGGAAAAGGCAAGTACACAGTTTGGTTGTGAAAAGTAGAGGCAAATGTTGGTTGACTTTTACCAGGTTTAAGCAATGCTTTGTGTGAGGCGATCTGTGAGGATAGGGAGATATGATAATTCTTTCAAGTCCTTGGAAAATTAGTTACTATGAAAATTCACATGCCGTTAGTCTTGAAATCTGATAGTCAATATTGGGAATGATTCGGTCAAACTTTGTGTGTTGAATCCAAAGCAATCAAAATTGGTTGAGTGCCGTAGTAATGCTGATGTGCAAGTTCGTGGCTAAGATGTCGTTTGGTAATTGGAAAGTCACACCTCTTTAGCACGGAGGAGTCTTGGTAGCTTATTTTGTCGTCTTTTCTGTTATCTGGGTTATCCAGGGTTGTAACCCAGATTTTAGTTTGTTTGTCTTGTCGTCAAATCCTTCCATCCGTTATTCAATGAAATACAGTTCGTCCTTTTGTGTCATTCTATGCTTAGTTCTTTCGCCGCTAGTTCTAGTGACATGACTTGCATGCGAAATTTTTGGCCAGATCTTAGAAAACTGATTTAGTCTAATACACTTTAGAGGATGAATAAAGAGTCGAAACAATTTGGAATTAAGCTCGAGTAAAATTCACGTGGAACTAGAATAGTCATACCGGTGGAGGTTAATGATCTTTAGCTTCAAATCATTGTGAAGGTTGGGTTTGAGGAAGAATCAATTGAAGTTTGGTGGAAATTTTGACAATAAAAGATGAAAAGTGTCTTTCGACCACGACACACCAAAAAGACAGACATGTTCATCAATGATGTAATCGCTAAAGGATATTATGTTTGGCGTTCTCGAGGCTTGGAGGCCCTTTTTTTGCTATCCAAATACTTTATACCCTTTGTTACCCCTTTTGAGCTTGTATTATTTTTTTTGACCACCCTCTTTTGGAATCAAGTTTCGAATTAAAAGTCCTAAAAATGGAATTAAAAAAATGATGAATAGAAAAGTCCATGCCCCAAGAGTACAAACTAGGGCAACTCTTAGAAAGTTCAAATAAAACAAAAAAAAAATAATTAAAAAAAAGATAAAAAAATAAAAAAGAAGAAAAGAAGTGTCAAAGATCCATGCCCCAGAAAATAAAGGCTGGGGTAACTTGTTTTGAAAACAAAAACAGAAATAAGAAAAAAAGAAGAAAAAATAAACAAAAAGAAAGATGAAAAAAATAGTTAGGTCAGATATTTGAACTACGTTTGACTTGATTCCTTTAAGGGATACGTAGGCATCTGCTCTATACTAGGGTTCAGTCCAACCAAATCAAAAATAAAAATTCTCCGGTATCTGAAACTGGGGCAGAAGTTTTTTTTATGTTTTAACGAAGAGACAATTCCAAGAGTTGTAATATACAACCCCCTCATCTTGAATCTATTTTGAGCCTTTATGCAACAATTTATTTCTAACCTTATCCAAAAGCCTTCCAAATAAAGACCTCATAATCAATCTTTAAGAATGCCAAGCGAATCGCGCAATAAGCAACAGTTGTCACACGACATAGAATAATGTCAAGTTGCTCACACAAGAAAGCAAAAATAAAATTAAAAATGAGAGAGTCTTACTAGTGAAAACCCCCATGGGCACTGTAAGACGATGGTAAGTAGAGATAAATAAATGAGAGGGGTTGGTTGGTGAAAACCTTTCGGGACACTACCGGTCGAAGGTGAGCTGTGATTTGATGCAAACGATTGGTTCAAAAAGGCCAACTTCAAAAATGAAAGGGAACAATAAGAATAAAAGGTAGATTGGTTGGATAGATTTATCCGCTCAGTCCAAAATGCATGTCATGATCATTAAAGTTGATTACCACATTCAAAAGATCCCCTTTTTAGTTTTTTTCTTTTTTTCTCCCCTAAAGTGGCATTTTTAGTTAAATACTATTCCTTGTCACTTATACATCACGTCATTGTGTGCATTTGTATTATTCTTTTGTAAAACAAATAAGAAATGATTTCAAAATCTGTTACCAGCTTTCTCACTGTACAAAGCGAGTTCTATCCTAGCACATCAAAGAGGACATACCGAGGAAGCAACATGAACAATAAATTATTGAAGTTAAACAAGATTTGAGGGTTCATGCATACGGAAGTTCCAAAGAGAAAAGTTTATTGGCCTATTTGTTTAGAAGCCAACAAAGAAAAATGTGGGGCATACACGACATTGGCAAAGGCACACATCCATCTGTGATCTCCTCCGGTAAGCTGAACAAAGTATTTCATGAAAAGGTGATGGGCAATGACTAGGACCATGGATTTTATTTGGATGCAACATGACTTTGACTTTGGAATGCATTGTTAGACTTTTAGCTGATGTCAATAGGGAAGAAGGAACCTCGGCAGGTCCCAGGGTTATGTAATTGTAGCTTCAAGCTAAGTGGGAGAGCCCTACCGTCTATGATTGGATTGCGTAGTTGTCAACTTGTGCGGTTTCTAGTTATTAGTGTATTGATGGGTTAGTACGACTAAGGAAAGAAAACATCAGTGGTAACTTGGGAAAAGGATTTGAGGAATGTGTGCTATCTTTGGCCTTATCGGTTCATGTTCAGGTCTTGGGTAGACTTAGAGTCTATGCTTGTGTGGATTTGATGTATAAGGAAAAAAATTCAGCCGGTTGCTTCTTCGAGAGGGTGTTCATGTTCTAGCAGGGCCTTGGAGTTTGATTATATTCGGGGACAAGTCAGAGTGGGTGACTCTCAACAATGGTCTTAGTAGGTTCAAAATTTAAGGTGCGGTGCCTAAGGATGTAGAGTCCGTGGTATGACTAAGTATCGAGTTTTGGCAGTGGATTATGAAAAAGGGGACTTGGAATGTTCTATGTTGTCTACAGTCTGCGGTGCAACATCGGAGGAACAGGAGAAAATAACTTTGGATTCATGGAAGAATTATCCGAATGGGTGTACCCGTTGAAGATGCGAATATGCGCACAAGGAAAGTATGTGATGGTTCGTGGGTTTTGAAACAACATGGTCTCGTGAAATAAGGTCACTCCGTATGAGTGCAGAATCGGGTTTATTATGTCTTAAATAGAGCTATCATTATTCCTAAGTCAAGTCCAAAGTAAATTAGAGGAAGTCAGATCAGTTAGCAATGGTTGAATTGGCATGATGGTGGCAGTGATCAGTTCCTTCAGCGTGTTGATTTATACATGTGATTTGTGGCGGTGCGTGCGAGTTTTGACGGCCACCGTAATTGATTTTATTTGGAGGCATTCGAGTATTATGGCCTGTTATGTGTAGATGGATCCCGGAAGAATTATGGTGGTTTAGACAACTACTTGAGGTTTGTATTTTCTGCGGTTATGGGAATTGAGTCACGTGTTGCAATGGTTCTCCTGAAATGAGTTAAGTGAAAGGTTTCTATATGATGAAGTGTGTACCCTATTGGTGGTTCGGGAGTTATGATGAAATTCTTGTACTCTTGTGTATTGGTATGTTGGGTGTAGTGAACAAAATGGGAATTGGAGGTTGAGGATCAAGGTTGCAGTTGATGTCGACAAGAATGTCAATAGCTCGGATGAGCACGGAAGAATTCAGATGTTTAGAGCGAGATGGTATTGTCTTCAGGGTCACCTGAGATCGGTGTCCTGTGTAAGAGGCTTGGTGTACTGATTTGTGGATTCCCGATTCGCTTTACGGCATTAGTATGGCCGGTGGTATGGATGTGCAGACTTGCTACCTGCGCGGAATGGTAGTGGGAGCATGCCCCACGAGGGGATTTTTATAAGTGTGACATGTCAGTCACTTGATTGTTAAAGATTGAGATCGAATATGGAGGTCATGGTAATATCACAAGTGCGAGAGTTTATGCCTGAGAGGAATTCTATTCCTTGGGCTGTGGACCATGTGAGTTCATTTCAGATTTGACAGCTGTTCTTATGTGTCGTTAATAGGTCATTGTGGGTCCTTGAGGGGATATTTAGCCAAGCATGGTATGATCAGAATCGGTCTGAGGTCTGTGGATGGATCTAAACGTGAATGTGGGCCCTATATCAGGACGTATGTGTTCATTTCAGCATAGCATTGTTTTCGGAGGGGTCTTCGGGCCTTAGATGATATTTCTGTTGTCGGACCTTCCGTGTAGTCTCTATTGTGCCATGTGGGTTATGAGGAGGTTTGATTATTCGCACTCATATTGAGAACCCATATAGTTTTTGGTGTTATGTGAGCAAGATGGCTCTCAAGATGCAGATCATATATTGCACCTTAGTTGTGCTTGAGTTTTATAGCACCTGACGCTACCCGTCTCCCTAAGATTTGTATTATGCACTTGGCGTGCTTATGATTGATATTCGGGCACTTCGTGAGTATAAGAGTTACGGCTCGATGTGTGTTTTTTTTAGATTATTATGTGTGGATCGAGTGGCATGCAGCCACGAGTACATGGTTGGATCGGGTGGCACGCCGTCACGGATATGTTGATTGGATCGGGTGGTTGCCACCACGAGTATCATGGTTGGATCGGATTGCACGCCGCAACGGTATCATGTGTGGATCGGGTTGCGCGCCGCAAAAGTGTGTTATTGAGTACAGTTTCCCACATCTCTTATTGTGTGTTTTGCTTCCCATTTCCTGAGTAAGGTTCATAACATCTTTTCGGTTGTTTAAATTAGTTACGTGGGTTGAGTAGATCTTTCCAGAGTTTGTTTCCTTATGTATCACATTCGAGTTTGTAGCTTGTTGGTGCATTATGGCATGATATGAGACTTTTGGCAGTGTCTGAGGTAGCTTACTGCCTGAGCAGCTTGTACTGGGTGAGACGAGATTTTTGGACCTGGGATCAGTGCGATCAGATTTATATGAAGCATATTAAAGAGTAAATATTGTTAATTAGTCCAGAATGAGGTAATGGTTCTTGTCGTGAGGGGGGACTCCATAAATTGTGATTCGGCATGTGACTATGAGTTCTACACATCTTCTGTGTCGTGGAAGTGTCGCGAGAGTTAAAGCAAGGCTTAATTGGTCATGAGGTACACTACGGGCTTCAGTGAGTTGAAATTTTAGCTATTGTGCTTTGGAAATATCGTCTTGGGCAAATGAGTTACGCGGTGCATGGTAAGAATTCAGTAAGGGTGTACAATCGTGTTTAGTGCAGTGTGTAGTGATTGATACAGTGCTCGTATGTTGGAAACAGGCCTGGTGGAGGATTCTGGATGTTGGAATTTGGCACTAAGGCTTATTTGACTAAATAAAGGGGAGAATCTTCAGATTGGCTCGAGCTAAGGTGCCTAACTGGGTTGTGGTGGCACGGATAGGTGCACGAGTTATTGAACAGTGATTTTGGACAACCCAGAGCGGTTCTTAGCTCGTTCGAGGAAGAACGTATATTTAAGTGGGAGAGAATATAATGACCCGACCGGTCGTTTTGAGCCCTAGCGCGTCGTTCGGTGGTTTGAGGCCTTGAGTAGCTTCACTTCAGGTATTATGACTTATACGTGTGGTCGAAATTGAATTTTGGGGAAATCTGGTGTTGATTTAGAAAGAAAATTCTCATTTCGGAAACTTTAAGTTGGAAGAATTTACTAAGGTATGATTTTTGACTAAATGACCTCGGAATATTCGAAGGTTCCAACAGGTCCGTATGATGATTTTTGACTTGGGCGTATGTCCGCATCGGGTTTTGGATGAACCAGGAGCGTTTCGGTGCCTATCGTGGAAAGTTGGCATTTTGGAAGGATTTCATAAATTTGGGTTGAAGAGCATTTTAATTTTATCAATGTCCGATTGAGATTCCGAGCTTGGGAATAGCTCTGTATGGTGCTTATGGACTTAGGGGCACATCCGGAAGTGGATTCGGAGGTCCGTAGGTCGTTTCGGGGTCTTTTGGCGAAAAATGGAAATTTGAAGGTTTTTGAAAAGTTTGATCGGGAGTGGACTTTTTGATATCGGGGTCAGATTCCGATTCCGGAAGTTGGAGTAGGTCTGTAATGTCAATCATGACTTGTGTGCAAAATTTGAGGTCAATCGGACGTGATTTGATAGGTTTCGGCATCGATTGTAGAAGTTGAAGTTTCAAAGTTCGTTAAGTATGAATTGGAGGGTGATTCGTGTTTTAAGCATTGTTTGATATGATTTAAAGGCTCGACTAAGTTTGTATGATGTCTTAGGACTTGTTGGTATGTTTGGTTGGGGTCCCGGGGGCCTCGGGTGGATTCCGGACGGTTAACAAATCAAGTTGTGTTTGGGGGAAATGCTGAGGCTGCTGTCTTCTGGTGTAACCGCACCTGCGAGGTTAGGGCCGCAGGTGCGGAGCCGCAGAAGAGGCCATGAGGGTCGTAGAAGCGGAGGTTGGCCAAAAGTCCTGGGCCGCAGAAGCGGGCATAAACGCACAGGTGCGCGAGCGCAGAAGCGCTCGGTGACCGCAGAAGCAGACGCGCATATACGCTACATGGGGCGCAGATGCGGGGACTGTTGGGCCGAGCTGGAGCCGCACCTGTGATGGAATTTCCGCAGGTGTTTAGACCGTAGGTGCGAAGGTCGGGCTGGGCATTGTGTTTCTTTAAAACGAGGGTTTGGCTCAATTTCCCTTCATTTCATCCACGTGAGCCGATTTTGGAGCACTTTTGGAGTGCCATCTTCATCAACTATAATGGGTTAAGTGATTTCTTCACATTGTGAGTTAAATACATGATTATTATATGGATTCAAGCATGAAAATTTGTAAAAATTTGGGATTTTGAAGAAAAACCTAGAAATTGGTATTTTTGGATTTTAACCACGAATTTGGGCATGGAATTGAGAATGAATCATATCTTTGATTTCGTAATGTTATGGTTAATGTTTATCTTCAAATATTTTCGGAATCCGGACATGTGGGCCCGAGGGTTGCTTTATCGATTTTTCGAGCGGAGTTGGAAATTGTTATTTATTGATTAATTATGAGTATTAGAGTATATTTTGATTGGGGTTGCATCTTATTTGGCTAGCTTCGAACGTTTGGCGCCGAGTTGAGGATTTAAAGCACAATTTTGGATCGGAAAGTAAGCTTTGAGATGAGGTAAGTCTCCCGCCTAACTCTGTGAGGGGGAAAACTACCCCTAGGTGATGTATTTAATGTGTTCAACTTGTTGCGGGGACTACGTACGCACGATGTGACGAGAGTCCGTACGTAGTTAGATTCATGTTATTGTTCGGGTAGACTTAGGTTCACATCATGCTATAGCTGTACTATTTGAGCTGTTTCTCGCATATTTGATTCCTCTGTTTTACATTACTACTTGAGACTAGAATTGCTTTTGTAGAGACTTCATGAGTTCATGATTAGTCACCGAATAATGTTACTTCTCTTACGGCATTTTTCCGGGATATATACATATATGTTTCATTGAAAGGTTTTTGTTAAAGAAATTACAACTCACACATTTATTCGTGAGTGGGGTCAAGGACCCGTCAAAGCTTCTTATTCTTATGGGATCGGGCCGTTCGCCTCGGCAGGATTTATGTACCACACTCTCATGGAAGCAGGACGTTCGCCTCGGCAGTTTAATAGATGCATCTATGGTTCGTGCCGTTCGACCCTCGGTAGTGCACAGTTTAAATATTTATGTTGGATCGGGCCATATGCCTCGGCATTTTCTATATCATATCCTCATGGAATCATGCATAATATTTGGCAAGAAGCTAGGGTATCTGTAAATTTTCCCCTGATTCGAATTATAACAACCTGCTTTATGAGATCCAGTATACACATATATATGCTCCGGTTGAGGAGGAATTTGCTAATTAAGAGCTTGAGTTTATTGTAAGGAGGATAATTGTACCACATGCTTACACTTGTTTATTTCATTTATTTACTTTGCCTCGTATTTGCTCACCTCCTTACTGTACTTGATATTATTGGACCACTAGTGAGTGTCGATGTCGACCCCTCGTCACTACTTCTCCGGGGTTAGGCTAGATACTTACTAGGTACACATGGATTTACGTACTCATACTACACTTGCTGCACATTTTTGTGCAGATACATATGTGACTAGTGGCCTTTGAGAGCAGAGGCATGTATGCATGCAGGGACTTATGTGAGCTGCATTCCATATTACGACCCGCGGCCGGTAGAGTCTCCTTCAGAGTATTTATATTTCTCCTGTCCAAATTTGTATTCCGGACATATACTGTATTTTATTTTACATTCCTAGATGATGCTCATGCACTTGTGACACCGGGTTTTGGGGTAATTATGGGTTGTCCTGTACTGAAATTGTTAAAAATATTATTAGTTACTCTGTAAATTCCATCTTTTACTATTTAATCGAAGGAAATATGATTTCAAAAATATTAAAATAAGAACCAAATTAAATAATTATTTTTGGCTTGCCTGACAGCGGTGTCTGGCGCCATCACGACCTTTAATGGATTTTGGGTCGTGACATCAACAATGGTACTCATAAGATGTAAGGATCAGATTTGGTTTCAAATTAACAGTAGGGAAAGGACTAGGGTAGTTCTGGACAAATCATGAAATCAGAAATCAAACAGGAACATACAGTATTCAGTTAGTTGCATGAACACTTCAAGTGAAGTTATAACTTCATATGGACATGGGAGCTTTGCACATTTATAAGATCAAGTTAAACATGTCATGAAGAGAGGGAGTTACAAATAAAAGAAAGTATTGTATCAAAACAAGTTTAACTTAGGCATAAGTCTAGTTTAGTTCTACATGTGAAGTAGTCATGCTTCAGCTTTTGAAAGTTATCACTTAATTAATACAGAATAACTAAGTCCTACTTTTTATGGAAGATAACCTAATGGTAGATGCATGCAGGCTTCACAAAAAACCAACAGTAGTTCAAAGAGATAAAAGGCAGGGAAGTACTATACCAAGTAAGTTTTGAATTAATCATGCATCTGAAGATTTTAACTAATCATGGGACAACCAAGTTCAGTTATATAGCAATTACCAGTTGATTGTAACAAAACATGATCATGCCTTATTCTATGAAGAGGAAGATAACTTAATGATAACAGAATGTACAACAAAGGTTCATGAAAAGAAGACAGTTCAACTCAAACAAGACTAGGTCAACAAATACAACCATAACTAGATGAGATCATGAGAATGTCATAGTGACAAACCAGAAATGGTATTCATAGTTTAACAGACATAAGTATAGAGAAGAAAAACATATAAACATTTAGAACTTCATGTTAAAGTTAAAGGGTAGATGATATAAACTTAGGAACCTCCAGATTCATCTCAGTCATGGTTATCAAATAATAAGCTCAACCACAAGAATTACAGACTACAAAGAAGCAACATATAAAGGTAAAGGTCACTGCAAAATCATCAATGGAAGGCTATGAAGTTCATGTAAACATGAACAATCATTCAAGACACATTATAACTCAAACATGTAGACTGTTGGAAACTCAAAAACGAAAATCAACAGGAATCACTTAATGACCCGATCAATCATCAATTAAAGACTCGAAAGGCAGGACAAATAATTACAAGTAGACATTAGACTATCAGAACATAAGCAAACCCATACTAATCGAAAACACCATAAGCAACCGTAATTCTCAGAAAAATAACTAACACATTTATAGCTTTCAAAGGAGATGAACAAGATAGAGAGAGAGAGAGACGAGGGATGTGCTGACCTTTTTGATGGCAGCAGACCAAACGAAGGCTCTCTTAGTTAATTAAAAACCCCAAGAAATTCAAGTTCGAATCAGCGACAGTACTCAGAAAATGAAGAGAAAAAGAAACATTAAGAGACCCTAGGCTTTTTGAACTCAAAATCGCTCTTCATGATGAATCTCTGAAGAAAGCTCCATGCATGCTCCGACTTGATGGAGTATAAGAGGACTTGAATGATTTAAAGTTACATGTTTAAGCTAAGGATCCAAGTTTTTAGGCATTTGAATTTGTATGATGAAATGGGGAAGAAACCTGCGGGATTCGCGGATTCAGAAGGCAAAAGAGATGAATCTCTGATGAACTCGTGACCTTGCATGAATTTGTGCAAGGTTTGGTGATTGATTTGGTTTGTGAAGTTGAGAGAAAAGAGAGAGTAAAGGGAAAGAGAGGCGGAGAGGTCAGAGACGGAATGATTTAGGGTTTGGGTAATTGGGGGTTGGTCTCTATGGTTATGTTTTCAAGATAGAATATGGGCTGTTTGATCGTTTGATCAACGACCTTGATAAATCGGGGCTTTATGGGTTTAAAGAAATTAATTTGGAAAAATACGGGAACCGTTGGATTTGTGTGATCAAACGGTGGAGATAATATATGGTAATGGGTCAAAGTTAAAAGAGAAAATGGGAATAATCGTGGGCCGTCGGTGGTATGGATCAATGGCTCAGATCATTTGTGTTTCTTATGTGAGGGTGAGAGATGGGTGATGTGGAAAACGTTGATTGGTGCAAATAGAGTGACTTGGATTGCCTTGGTGGGAAGATATGTGTGTTTGGGTTGGGTTTAATTTCGGACTGGGCTTTTCAATTGGGCCAAGAATAATTTAAAAAATGGCCATTTTACCTTTGATTCGAAAATTACAATTGTGGCCTTTTGGTCTTTTAACACCTTTTGAATTTAATTTAGATAAACTTAATAGTTTTTAACAAATGTAGTAAAAATTATAATTATTATATATACTATTAGTTACTTTAATTAATTAGCTATAAAAATACATTATCTTCCTAAATTGTAGCACTAATTTCGAATTTTACATAGTAATCTAATTAACTAGAAATTAAAATGTGATTTATTAAATTAATTATAGAACGTACGTAATGTATATATAAAAATTATCTTAATAATCATAAAAATAATAAATATATTTATAATTACATAATGTTAAGACTACGCGATTAATTTTAAAACTATCACTTAAATTATTTTGCAAGAATAGGTATTTGTTACAAGAAAATACTTTAAATATATTTATTATAAATTATTAAGTATAAATTAATTTATTTTTGAAAGGGGAGAGTCAAAATTGGCCGTCAACCAGTGTGACCTTATGCCCGCAGAAGCGAGGATCGCTGGGCAAAAAAGGATTAGTTCAAGGATTTTATCTCATTTTAATTTTTGGACTTAAGGCGCTCGATTTGTGGCGATTTTCTAGTGTTATCCAAGAAAATCATCGGGGTAAGAGATTCTAACTCGATTTTGGCTATATTACACGAGTTCATTGTTATTTTTCATCATTTAATTACTGATTTGAGTTGGAAATTTGAAGAAAAATTGTGAACCTTCTTAGACAAAATTTTGAGGATTTGAAAGGCGATCTGAAGTCAGATTTGAGTAATTCTTATATGGCTGGACTCATTATCGAATGGGTGTTCGGATTTTATAATTTTGGTCGGGTTCCGAGACACGAGCCCGGGGTTGACCTTTTGAGTTGTCTTTTTATTTCTCTTTAAAGATCGTAACTTTATTGTTCATAATAGCTTCCTATAGTTTATATTTATGGTATGAAGTTGTTTTGCCTAGATTCGAGCCATTCGGAGTTGGATAATTGAGGGAAAGACTTACTAGTAGATTGAGTAGCGTGTTTTGAGGTAAATGTCTTACCTAACTTTGTGTTGGGAAATTTTTCCTTAGGATTGGTGTTGTATTGTGTTAATTGTGATATGTGAAAGCCGTGTACGCAAGGTGACACGTGTGTACACATGCTAAATGTGGTACTTTACTGGTTCTAACTATGTAGATTCTTTTCATGCCTTTAATTGAGTTACCATAATATGTTATATTCATCATCTTTAGTCTATCTTCACATGCTTTACTTGTCTTACCCTCTTACTTGTTATTTTCTTTTACATGCCTAGTTGAAATTATTGTTTCCTCTATTACTTATTCATTATGTAACTGTTGAGTTCCTTACTTGAAATTATTATTTCTTGGAATATCTTGTTGTTAAAATTGGTATTGAGTTATAAAGGCCATGATTCACATTGAGGCAAAGTTGTTAAGTTGTGAAATTCTATTCTTGTTGATTTATTCAATTCCGGTTGTTATTGTTGAGACTCTTGTGCATATTGTGGTTGAGCCATGGGCTGTTTATTGTGAAAACACCATTGTTGTTGACTTCTTTGGCAAGTTGTTATATTGGGCACTTGAGGTGCGATTTGTGATACATTCTGATATTGATACACATACGGTGGTATAAGGTTTTGGGGTTGAAACATATGCGGTGAGATAAGTTGGGCTTGATACGTGTGTTGCTTGTAGGGAAACTACTTGAAGCCACGCGGTGTGATAAGGTGGGCTAAAACGCGGGAAGCTATTTCAGGAAAAATAATTTTCAAAACAGCTGCAACTGGAGGTGGACTAACACTTGATAATCCTTGGTTGTAGACCGATCTAGCATAATCGCCAAGTGATCTTCCTACCACGGGAGCTATATTTCAAAACTGATCTGCCGCCAAGGGTTGATTTTGAGCAATTCTCCGACCCCTCTCCTCTTCATAGATAATATGTGCATCTCTAAGTGTTGCTTCCTCAGCATACCGTGCAGCTTGTTCTCGTCATTGGGCTGCCTCTCTTGTATCCAAATCTACACTATCATCATCTCCTTCCATCATTTCTTTGGTTGAGGATTGCCCAACCTTCTCTATATTCTCGGGGAGATTTCATTCCTTCCTCAAATATCGTAGTTGCTTCTCGATTTCTAGTTCGTATAGTAGCACTTCTTTCCTATATGATCGAGTCATGCACCAATCTTACCTGCAACCTGCGCACAGTCAATGAACACCAAACGTAAAAAGAGAAAAATAAAATAAAACAAAAAGAAAAATTCTTGAATTAGCACTACAAACTATTTCAAACACTATTAATTGCCAATCCCCGACAACAACACCAAAATTTGACGCAAAACACTCACTTAAATATGCTCGCTAGTCGAATATAGTATAATATAATATCGTATCCACATGGATTGGAGTTAAATAGTATTATCATAGTTCGTAGATAGATTGCTATCCAAGATGATCAATAAATGAGAGTTTTGTGATTAATACTAAAATTAACTAAGAATCTAGATCTAATTGACTAATGACAATCGAAACAATGAATAAGCAAAGAAAGATATCAATGGGAGAAGATAGGATTTTGATAGGATAGATGTAAGA